TTTCCTCAGATGGCCCCACTGGCAGAGCTTCTGCCTCTCTGCACACACAAGACTCAAATCTCAAGCTCCACATCCGTTATAGGACAAGGAAATGTCATTTGTGCAAAGCTCTGATCAATATCTCCTGCTGTGCAGAGCTCCAGGGTTACTCGAGCTCCTTATTCCCCCCAGGAAATCAGGGTCTAAACACAGCTCAGGATCCGGCCCCCATCCTTACCTCCCCTTAACCCCCAGCTGGGGTTTTGCCTCCTAATACCTTAAAACATCTTTAAATTTCCCATTCTTTCTGTTCTCCTGGGGGCATTCCCGAAGCCTCCCATCTTTTGACATGTGAGTGATGTGAAAATCAACAGCTTTCTGTAATGCTGCAAAGTCTTTCAAGTCTTTCATAACACGGGTTGCCTCTGTGTGCAAAGTCACGCCAGCACAAAGGAAGTGTATCAACATCCCACCAGAATAACTTAAAAGAGAGTCTCCTTTGGGAAAAGAATTATTTTGAGGATCACATATGGGAGACCCAGATTACGGCACCACGGGCGGCTCGGCTGTCTCGGCTGTCTCCTCATGAACCTTTTGATGCTCTCGCACCAGAAGAAGACAGGGAGTGACAAGCCATGCTGTAAGCCAGCTAAGGAGCTTGGGAACGGCTCAGCAGCGATCTGGAAAGCAGAAACTCCCACCATGAACTGTGCAAATTCAGCCAAGGAGCACTCATTGTCCTGTTGCTTCCGTGAGGAAGCTGCGCTCCATCAGCTGCCTGTGATTTTGTTGATTTATCTGCAATTCTTCCTCATGCTTTTTGTGTCTCCCAATAATCCCCTTCTGCTTTTTCAGGCCTCCTCTTTTAACCTCAGTGAGGCAAATCAGTGCTGCTTGTCCCTGTGGTTGGTGATCAGCGGGGTCCCCAAGGGGTTTGCCCCCCCTGCTCCCCAAAACACCTCAGCACCCCCAGTAGCCCCAGTCATGGGAGCAGCTGCTGTGCCGTGGGCTCACCCCACAAGGTGCTTTTGGCCTGGAAAATCATCAATTCTGATGCATTTTTCCTGTGAGGTCTTCCCTCTTACCTGTTGGTTTGCACACAGTCCCTCGTGCTCGGCCCGAAGCTCTCAAAGGAGTTTATTGCTGTTTGTATTTGGTTTTGTTTTGGTTTGTTTCTTGCAACACAAACGAGGAAAGCTGTGGGAAGGAGAGAGGGCACTGCCAAGCAACCTTCCTCTAGTCTGCAGACACCACTTAATTCATGTTTCCACTTCATTCTTACCAGAATATTACCTTTCATTAAAAGGCAGTAAAAGCATTAAAGCATTTTGTAGTGGTCAGAGAAGATCTCACAGCTTTATTAGGCTGAGAGCACATAATGGATCACTACAGCTCGACTGCCCACCTCAAGCACCAGTTTGGGAAGTCAGTTTTGGAAGAACCAGACTGGTCCTGCATGGAAGGAACGGGATGGGGGATGAGCACCAGTCCCTGAGCCAATGCACCTGGATCTCTGCAAGTGGGATTGTCAGCACTTTGTCAGCCTGCAAGATTTCTCACTTTTTGGCTTTTCTTTCACACGCTGGGTATAAAATCCCACTTAAAAATGTGCAGCAGGGATGGAGTAAAGTCTAAATGCTTCCCTAAAGGTGAGGTGAGGCCCTTGGCTGTGTGCAGGGCTGGGGCTGGTGAGGGGACAGGGTCCTGTGTACCCCATTTGAGGGTCAGTGCTGGGTTTGAGCTGCACAAGGAATTGTTTCCTACTTCCCTGTGCCCCCCGAGTCCTGCTGCTGTCCCCAGGGCTTGCAGCTGAGCCACAAGGCAGAGCTCACACACAGCTGTGGATGCCCCTTGCACGAACCTTTGCACGTTTCTTTCACACAGTGACCCCCCCAGGCCCAGGGGCAGCCCCTGTACCTCCAACATCCCCCACACTGCCAAGAAAGAAATGGGATGTCTAAAGAACTGATTTCCTTATTTTGGATCACCACATTTCCACGAGCAGCTGAACATTCCAAGGTACTGAGGGCAGACAGAAAGATGCTCTTCATTACTGCCTTTTACTCCTTTTATATACTTATTTATCAGTTTGATCTTCTTTGAGGAACCCAAATCTTTGGGTTCCTCTGGGTTTTGTTTTCTCCCCACCTCTGTGGGTTGATTCCCATGTGTTCTCACACTGCTGCACGTTTCCCTCCATGGGATATAAGCATTTATTCACGTTCATGTTTGTGTGGAGTGGTAAAATATTAGAGCTAAATTTTTTATGACATTCCTAGGAGTGGTTATGGAGCAAACAAGATTACAGCAAGTACTATAGAAAAGCTTGTTTATGCAGGGAGGGGAAAAAATCAAACTCGGAGACGCGTTCGCAAAGCTGCGGGAGAGCCCAGGGGCGGGGTTTGGAGTTCCCTCTCCTTTTCCTTCCCTGCCTCCATCGCAGCCACAACTCCCAGCAACTAGGGCTGAGCGGGTTTGGAGCGGAATTCCAGCTCCAGCAGTGGGAGATGCTCGCATTCCAGGGGAGAGGACACAGGCAATGCCTGGCTTCCCCTGGCAAAGTGCCACCAGGGCGATCCTGGGGGAATGGGGGCGCTGGGGCTCCCCTGGCACGCTGCTGGTGTGATGGGCACTGCCCTGGGCACGCTGCTGGTGTGATGGGCACTGCCCTGGGCACAGTGTTGGTGCGATGGGCACTGCCCTGGGCACGCTGCTGGTGTGATGGGCACTGCCCTGGGCACAGTCCTGGTGTGATGGGCACTGCTCTGGTCATGCTGCTGGTGTGATGGGCACTGCCCTGGGCACAGTGCTGGTGCAGCTGGCACTGCCCTGGGCACAGTGCTGGTGTGGTGGGCACTGCCCTGGGCATGCTGCTGGTGTGATGGGCACTGCCCTGGACACAGTGCTGGTGTGATGGGCACTGCCCTGGTCATGCTGCTGGTGCAGCTGGCACTGCCCTGGGCACAGTGCTGGTGTGGTGGGCACTGCCCTGGGCACGCTGCTGGTGTGATGGGCACTGCCCTGGGCACAGTGCTGGTGTGGTGGGCACTGCCCTGGGCACGCTCCTTTCCCCCTGCACAGCCTTTGGGATGCCCTTTGCACATCCTCAGACTCCTGAGGCTCCCTTTCCACACCTCTGGGGAGCCCTCTGCACACCCTCACGCTGCTCGGGACACCCTCGGCTGGCACTGCCCTGGGCACGCTCCTCTCCCCCTGCACAGTCTTTGGGATGCCCTTTGCACATCCTCAAACTCCTGAGGGTCCCTTTCCACACCTCTGGGGAGCCCTCTGCACACCCTCATGCTGCTCAGGACACCCTCACAGTCCTTGGGGTGCCCTCTGCACACCCCTTTGGGCACTCACACTCCTTGGGGTGCCCTCTGCACACCCCTTTGGGCACTCACACTCCTTGGGGTGCCCTCTGCACACCCCTTTGGGCACTCACACTCCTTGGGGTGCCCTCTGCACACCCCTTTGGGCACTCTTGCACTCTTTGAAGAGCAATGTCTTTTGCACAGCCTTTAGAACGCTCTCACACTGTTCGGGATGCTGTGACACTGTTCGGGATGCTCTCACACTGTTCGGGATGCTCTCACACTGTTCGGGATGCTCTCACACTGTTCGGGATGCTCTCACACTGTTCGGGATGCTGTGACACTGTTCGGGATGCTCTCACACTGTTCGGGATGCTCTCACACTGTTCGGGATGCTCTCACACTGTTCGGGATGCTCTCACACTGTTCGGGATGCTGTGACACTGTTCGGGATGCTCTCACACTGTTCGGGATGCTGTGACACTGTTCGGGATGCTCTCACACTGTTCGGGATGCTGTGACACTGTTCGGGATGCTGTGACGCCGTTCGGGATGCTCTCACACCGTTCGGGATGCTGTGACATTGTTCGGGATGCTGTGACACTGTTTGGAATGCTGTGACACTGTTCGGGATGCCCCCACATCCCGCGGGATGCCCTTTGCACAGCCTTTAGAACGCTCTCACCCTGTTTGGGATGCTGTGACACTGTTCAGGATGCTCTGACACAGTTCGGATGCTCTCACGCCATCCGGGATGCCCCCACATCCCGAGGGACGCTCTTTGCCCACTCCCGGGATGCTCCCACACCATTCGGGATACTCTGACACTGCTCGGGATGCTCTCACAGTTTTTGGGATGCCCTTGCAGATTTTGGGATGCTCTCACAGATTTTGGGGTGCCCTTGCAGATTTTGGGATGCTCTGACGGTTTTTGGGATGCCCTTGCAGATTTCGGGATACTCTTACACATTTTGGGGTGCCCTCGCAGTTTTTGAGGTTCTCTCACAGATTTTGAGGTTCTGTCAAGTTTTTTGAGTGTCCTCGCAGTTTTTGGGGTTCTCTCGCACATTTTGGGATGCCCTCACAGTTTTTGGGGTGCCCTCTCAGATTTTGGAGTGCTCTCACACATTTTTGGGGTTCTCTCACAGTTTCTGGGGTGCCCCCGCAGTTTTTGGGGTGCCCTCACACACTCCAGGGTGCCCTCACAGTTTATGGGTGCCCCCGCAGTTTTTGGGGTGCCCTCACAGTTTGTGGGTGCCCTCACACACTCCGGGGTGCCCCGGCAGTTTTTGGGGTGCCCTCACAGTTTATGGGTGCCCTCACAGTTTTTGGGTGCCCCGGCAGTTTTTGGGGTGCCCTCTCCCCTCCCGGCCCCCGCAGTTGCCGCCTGTGGCCGCCAGGGCGCGCGCGCGCTCTTTCCGCGGCTCGCGGCCGGCGCGCGCCCCCCCCCTCAGGGCCCCCGCGCGTGCCGGGGGAGCGGGACCGGCCCCGGGGCGCTGCGGGCCCGGCCCGGCCCTGCGGGGCGAGAGGGGACCCCCCTTCCCCTTCCCCTTCCCCTGCCCTGCCCTCCTCTCCTCCGCGGGCGCCGGCCCCGCCGCCGGACGGAGCGGAGCGGGCGGGGAGCGGGGGGAGTGGTTACGGGCTCCGGCGCGACACCCCCGGCCCCCCCGCCCCGCTCAGCCGCCCCTCTCCAAATAAATCAGCACCATGACTACTTCTGGGCATGGAACAAAGAGGATGCTCTCCCGGGGCCCCGCGCTGCTCCTGGCGCCGCTGCTGCTCCTGTGCCGAGGTAACCCCGGTCCCGCCGCCGCGACCCCGCCACTGTGGTCCTGTTTGTCTGGTTTGCTTGTTGTGTTCATTTCGCTGTTTGTTTTTTAACTGTTTGTGTTTATTTCATATCTGCCCCCCTCACCCGGTTTTATTTACGGCCGTTTCCCCCATCCCAGCCCTCCCTCCCCCGGCTCCCCGCGGCGCTCCGCGCAGCGCTGCGGCTGCAACGCGCTCCGAGCTCCGTGGCACACCAAGAAGTCCCCATCAGCTCCGCTGCCTCCCCGGCTGTCCCCTGTCCCCACGCGTGTCGGGGGCTCCCGGACCCCCGCCTGCTTCGGCCGCCGCCAGCGCGTTGCTGCCGATTTGGGGGATAAAAAAGGAAAAAGTTTGGGCTTGCCGGAGCTCTGGGGATGGAGAAGGGTCGTGGGGTTTCCCACGGTGCGGCCGACCCCCGTTCCTCCCCGATGCTTCTCGTTCTTTCTTGCTATCTATGGGGTGGGGGGAAAGATGTGCAGGAGCTAAACCCCTTCGGTAACAAAATACTTGCGCAACCTTTTTGCGCTTAATTCCGAGAAGGACGGGTTTCGGTGGGCTGGCGGGGAGCGGGGTCTGGCCCTTGACTGGGCTCAGGTGGGATTCCCTCATCGCGGCCGGCTGCGAGGCAGCGCGCCCGGGCAGGGAGTGCGGCTGGAAGATGCTCTTCTTCTGTTATTTTATTTTTCTTCTTTTTTTTTATTTATTCCCCCCGCCTCCCCCCCACTCCCCCCCCCCAGCTGGACTTGGGAGCTGCGTTTCGGGTCCCAGGTGCGGGTGTTTGATCACTCCAGGATGCCAGAGCGCTGCCCCTGGGAAAGTCTTTAGCAGGACTTCGCTCTGGGGACGTTCTGCTCTGCGTGCTCTCGTGAGCTGCCTCGCAGATGCTGCTCCTAATAAACAGGGGTTGTTAAAAGCAAATTAATTAAGGTGCATCGGTGCTGAAGTTGCTCGGGGAATCGTTTGCGCTTACTGCTTCTCGGGACGGTGCTCGCCTTTGGCCGTAGCGTGGAGCTTGGGCTGCTGGGGAAACTTCGCTGGGGGTTTAGGAATATGCCTAAATGCAAGGATTTTAGGTGAAAAAGGAGCGATCCATGGGAGGGGTAATAGCAGTAGCTGTCGCTCTTGGGGAGGGCACAGGGAAGGCTTTGTGGTGGGGAGGTGTTTTAGGAAAGGTTCCTACAGGAAGAGCAGGAACGATTTGCTAAGAAGGAGGCATCAACCTTGGGGGCACACAGAAGATAGACAGCAGGAGGTCCGTGCTCTGCTCACCCCAAAAAGCACTGCTTGCCCCTGCCCTCCATCCCCTTCCTTGGCTGGGTCGTGTGCAGCCACGGCGGCACCTGGAAATCCTCCTGAGCAGGACACGGGGACCGGGGTGCAGAGTTTGGGGTGCAGCTTGTGGGGACTGGGGCACCAAGCACAGGACACAGGGCACGGGCTGCCTGTGGGTCAGCAGTGCCCCGAGGAATGGTGGCTTTCTGTGGTCACTGCCATGCCCTGTGTGCCGTGCAGCTCTTCTTTTATCGAGGAGAGAGTTTGGCACAGCAAAGGAGCAGGTTTCTGGTTTTTGGTTTTTTAAAAATCTTTTTATTTATTGCTTTGACATATTAATGCTAATCTTTTCCCTGCTATTCCCCCCTCCCGTCTCCTCCTGTGTGGGTAGCTACCATGGTGAGATCGGGCTGTGGGTGTAATTCTTCCAGCGCTCTGAGTGCTTAAACATATGGAAACCCACTTTGAAACAGTTTGTGGCTGCAAACCTACCGACGTATCCATCCATCCATCCATCCAATCACGGATTTGGTTGCTCTTTGAGCCCAGGCAGCAGTTTGGAAGGCACAGTCCCTAGGCAAGGACTCCCTTGGACTCTCTCCAGGACCAAGTGCCTGGAGAGAAGACTGTGCTCCACGGAGGTGCACAGGGATATCCATCCTTCCATCCCTCTCCGCTGCTCTGAGCCCTCCCTGCTCAGCGTGCGCGTCAGGAACTCGCAGTGCGCTCTCGGCTCGAGCTGTGAATAACGAGAGCGTTCTCCGCCTGCGCCTCTCTCCTCTCCCGGCCGTAGCATCCTCCTGCTTCCCCAGCGGAGCGCTGCCCCTGCCCCGTCCCACCCGCACCGCAGCAATGCCTGGGCGTGCAGAGGGGCTTTGGGATCAGGGGAGAGCTCTTCAGAGAGAGGCGAGCGGTGAACGCCTCCCTCCCGAGCTGTGCCGGTCTTCCGGCAGCTCGCTGTCATCCGAGTCGGTTTTCTCCTCTGGATTACAGGGGTTAACGAAGCGCATCTCGGTTTGGGTTGTTGCAGACGGGAGAGACACCTGCATGAGTCATGCCGCGGTGCTGCCATCTCCGCAAAGCTCCCGGCTCATGCAGCCGCTCGCCTTGGGCTCTTGCCATTTTTCTCTATTTATTTGCTTTTTCTCCCTCCCTTCCCCCTTGCCGGGACCGGCTGCGTTGCGGGGAGCGGCGATGCACCAGGCTGAGTTTCTGCAGCCTCTTCAAAGCGGGTGGCATTTGTTCGCCTGTCAAGCAGGTCCCCTAAATAGCTTCGTGAAGGTCCAATTAAGAGATCACTCCGTGGCCCGGCTCTCCGGCGGCCCGGCTGCGAGCAGAGGGTGTGCGTGTGTGCTTGGCAGCCGAGGGCCGCTCACGCTGAGCTCGAGGATGTCTCCGCCTGGCAGCAGGCCCCCGTTTTTTGCTGCCATCTAGGCAGGGTTTTGGCCGCCTTCCTCGCTGGCGGCGGCGGAGCTGTCTCCGAGGTTATATGAATAGGTATCCTGCGAGCGAGCTGGATGAGTTACCTGAATATTTTGTTTTCCTGCCCGGTGCTGTGTCACCGGCTCGCTCCGCTGCCCTGCGCCCCGGAGCGGGTGCGGGAGCGCGGGGCAGGGCAGGGCAGGGCTCGCTGAACACGCTCCTTCAGCCCCCGTGGGACGCGCCTGGGCTGCTGTCAGCTGTGCGTGAGGAAGGACCCGCGATTGCTTTTAGACTCTGGCTCCAGGGGGGCGTGGGTGGAGAGACATTATGCTTATTTTATTATGTGTCCCTGTATCACTCTACCTAATATGGAGACACTTTTTATTCAGAGGCTCTTTAGGAACAGAAATGAAAGACCTGCGTTATCTACCGTACAATAGATTTGCAGATCATGTTCGTACAAACTGTTGAAATGTAGGTTATTTTCCCCAGATTAGTGCAGATCTCAACATTTTATGCAATGACTGTTCAAACTGATGTGAAGTGGGGGATAGTGGGCTGGGGGGAGAAGTCTGAAATTATTATAGTGCCTTTTGCTCCAGCATCCATTAGAGCAGAATATTTTAGATACCCTGATTTTACTTCCCATCAGCATAAATCTGGACCAGCTGCTCTGAAGTCAGTGGAGCTACTCTGGATTTATTCATTGCTGCTGCTATCGGCATTGGGCTCTCTGGGAATGCAGGAGGCAACTGTGTGACTTACCCTGCACAGCATTTTTCAATTCAAAATCTCCTGTCACTGGTGCTGCAGCCTCCTTTATGTATTTGAAATGGGGAAGTCTCACTGGTTTTGGGTTTTGATTATTTTCTTCAATACGTGCGGCTTGGTCACAGAACTCTGTTCACTGACTCTGCCTGATCAATAGTCTTTTGTGGTTTGAATACCAAAATAGTTACATTAAAATATAAAAATCAATTAGATGCAATTAATTTGCTGTATTTTATTGCTGGGAATGATAGCCACTCCCAGCCCTATTATCTCTGTGTTTATAGCAGCTTAGTGTGGTGAGGAAGGTGTGAGCCCAGGAGCAGCTGCAGCAGGTCAGAGCAGAGGGCTGCCAAGGCTGGGACAGGGTTTATGTCTCGGGAAGGATTTTTTGGATGAAGGATGCATTCCTGAGCCAGAGATGGCTCCATTTATTTAATTGCTGTGTTGAGTTTGCCATCACGGATTTGGTTGCTCTTTGAGCCCAGGCAGCAGTTTGGAAGGCACAGTCCCTAGGCAAGGACTCCCTTGGACTCTCTCCAGGACCAAGTGCCTGGAGAGAAGACTGTGCTCCACGGAGGTGCACAGGGATTGGGGTTACACAGGGCTTTAGGCTGTGCAGGGTTTTCCCAATGGTGCCAGTGGGATGGGGATTCCACCCTGCTGACCCCACGCTGAGTCAGGGTCCTCCTAACCCTCTCCATAGCTCCTCAGAAATGTGTTTTGCAGCCAGGCTGCTCAGGGGGCCCGTGGTGTCCTGTGTCCCTTTGCTGAAAGGTGGAGGAAGGGGTGTCATTACTCATGATGATGGGTTATGGCAACTCATGCTGCTTGTCCTGTCCTTGGTGGTTGATGCTGGTACCAGCACAGGTTTTGCTGTGATGGAGAGGTGGCTTCATGAAGCTCTGTGTCTCGTGGAGGTGGCTGCAGACCTGTCCTGTCTCAGAGGAGCAAAGGGGAGGTGGCAGCCCCCTATGTCCTGCACAACCAAGGTCTTCTGGCCTTAACAAACGTCCCGGAGAGAGAGAAGCCACCCCACTACAATAAACACTGTCAGCTCAACAAATTTACTTCACTGATCTTGACCGCCCATTCTCTCCTTGCCGAGCTGTAACCGATGTTAGTTAATGACAAGCAGTGACTTGGTTTGTTGGCATAGCTTTGGCTCTCAGCCCTGTCAGAGGCTCACTGATGTGCTGGCACGTGGTGCTTGCCCAACTGTCAGATCCTCTCTCATGAAGTGCCACGGAGGCTGTGGAGTGTGAGTTACCATGTGGTGCTCTAGATGTCGTGGAAGATGCTTGGATTTCATGCTGTCGGGAGTTCCCAGCTGGCATTTCAGAGGAAGCGGTTCCCACGAGAGGATGGGCAGGCAGAAATTACAAAGCAAAGAGGTCCCTGGAGACAACTTACAGGGGGATGGGGATTGCTCGGTGTCTGGCTTTCCCTGGGTATTCCCACTGCCCTCTGTGACATAGAGTGCAGTGTTGGGAAGTAAAGCCAGGACTGCTGGAGTGTGTG